CAGCTTAATATAACAAACATTCCTACATCACCTCTCCAACAACTTATGAACGAACATTTCTAGCTGTCATATTTAATTTCTAACCAGTTTTGTCCATCCAGAGTCTTCCCTAATTGTATATATGCAATATGAGTTTTATGAAGGTGTAATTAGTATATACATACAATGCTGTGCCCTCCTGTGACGGTGCTTTTTGACAAGCAATCCATTCTTTTTGGGCACTATCACTCTCTTAATCAATACAGCAGTAGTTGTGTGTTTATTTAATTATCTTGTTGCTTGGTGCCCTTTTTTATTATTAAAATGAATGTAAAATGTAAAAATGAAAGGGCTAGTAGAGTCATAACCCAAATTAGACAAAACTAGAAATCATTATGCATGACAAAAGCAGTAAACTACTGCTAGCCTTGGTAATACTGTACGTAAATTGGGCAACAATGCTTTCATTGTGAGGGAAAAGAATAAAATTAAACAGTATGTAGGACAGCTGACGTTATCTCATGAAATTGTGTATAAAAGTCCATATGCAGAGGGGCGCCCGGGTGGCTCAGTTGGTTAAGCGTCTGACTTGGTTTTGGCTCAGGTCATGATCTCAGGATCCTGGGATCTAGCCCCACATCGGGCTCCATGCTTAGCACAGAGTCGGCTTGAGATCCTCTCCCTCTGTCCCTCCCCCAGCTCAGGCTCTCTCTCTCAAAATAAATAAATAAATAAAATCCTTTTTTAAAAAGTCAATATGCAGAATGGAGAAAACAGAGTTCTTTAAAATTATGGATTGAGAATTTGCATGAAGAAAACATTTCTGTTCTTAAAAATAAAGAAAAAAGTTCAGATACACAGACCTGCTCATGGGGACACAGCTTGCTGCTACTTTGTTAATAAGCAAACTACGGTCTATTGATATAACAGCTATAAATAAAAGACACGTATGTAAATATGAGAAATATATTTATAAAGTGCCAGTAACTGAGAAAAGGAGATCACAGCATTGTATGTATATACTAATTACACCTTCATAAAACTCATATTGCATATATACAATTAGGGAAGACTCTGGATGGAGAAAACTGGTTAGAAATTAAATGCTTGCTAATTTCTTCTTTGGAACTTCAAAAACACCTAACAGTGGCCAGACTACTTGTTTCAGTGAAGTATCCAACTGCAAATGTATGATATTCTAAAATTCCATTTGTAAATAGGCTGTTGGGAACTCAGAACATAATGGTTCATGGAAGCAAGGTTATAAACCAAGGTCAGGGACTCAAGTAAAGTAGGAAAAGCCCTTTTACCACATAGTGGCCTGAGATACATTTCAAATACAGTAATGCCTCATGTATCTAACATCAATAAAGATTAAATGAGGGATATAAATTACTTTTCCAGACTCTTTAAAATTCTAAAATGTTTAGCCATTTTGATAGACAAAATTAAAATGTGTATCCCTCTTTTCTGCCTCATTAAACACCGTGCGAAACATAATCTACTCTTATGATGACCTGGTATCACCACTCTAAACACCAATACTGCCTAGCACCTTGCTACTCTCATGGGTTTTTTTGTTTTGTTTTGTTTTGTTTTCACACCAGCATTGTGTGCTGCAGAACACTGTTCTGGAGAGATGCTCCGAGAAAATGAGTTCAGGCATTAATAGAGACTAGAAAAGGTCTAGAACAAAAAAAAAAATCCAGTTTAATTTGCTAACTCTGTTTCCCCTTTAACCCTTTTCTACATAATTACCATTAAGGTCCCATAAAACAGGGATTATGTAGAATATACACAGAAACAATGCCTTGTATTCAAGGGATCCAGGCTGTTGTGCTCTGTTTTGGTGCCTCCTTTTTATGATTAATTTTTAGCCCATCGGCTTGCATCCTACTTAACTCAGTAATTCCCTATCATCATCCTCCCTCTTTCTAATTTGCTTCTTCTTGGCTACTATGGGCTAGAAAGCCAGGTAACCGAGCTTGTTAAAACTGTGTCCAAAGTCAAACTCAACAGGTTCTCAGAGCCTGTGGGTTTCTTCTAGTGTCAAATGTATGGGCTTAAGTGTATCAGCTTGGTACTACTTCATCTTCTCAGTCTTTTTTATTTTCTTTCTGGGTCTTAGCTGTGCTGTTCAAGAAGTGAGGCCCTGTATAATATTGGTCCAACTATACTACATGAGACCATAAGCTCACTAAGGGCAGGGACTGTGTCAGATTGTGCCCAGCAATGTCTCCCCAGAACCTATCACAGTAACTGGCACAGGGTATGTGCTTGACAAATATTTGATAATGACTAATTAACTACCCCTAGTCACCAGACAGAACATTAATTCTTTGGCAAAACACAGGATGAATTTTAACTCTGGACACCAGAAACACATTTCCTTCTCTCCTCCTCATTCAAGCAGATAACTAGGAACTCCTATGTCTCTGCCCACATATAGAGTTTATCCAGCTCACATGGTACTCCCATTTCTGCATAGGAAGGGACACCTGGGTGGTGCAGTCGGTTAAGCCTCAGACTCTTGGTTTTGGCTCAGTTTGTGTTCTGGGGTCGTGAGATCAAGCCCCACATTGGGCTTCATGCTCAGTAGAGTCTGCTTAAGACTCCCTCTCCCTCTTGCCCCCCATGTGCATGTGTGTGCACACCCGCGCTCTAATAAACAAATCTTTAAGAAAAAAAAAGAAAAGAAAGCTGAGGAGGAGCACCTGGGTGGCTCCGTAGGTTGGGGGTGGGGGGGAGAACTATTGATTTTGCCTCAGGTCATGATCTCAGGGTTGTGAGACAGCCCTGCAGGAGGCTCCATGCATGGAGCCTGCATACCATTCTCAGCAGTTTCACTCTCTGAGCAGGATTCCATTCAAAATTCTAGGGGCCCACCCATTCATGTTGGGTCCTTACCTACCCTTAGGTTTCTGGCAGCCTGACTTCCCTAGCCCTGATGAGTGCCTCCTGAGTTCTCTCCCTCTGCCTCTCCCCACTGCATGCACTGGCTCTCTCTCCCTCTAAAAAAAAAAAGTTGGGGATCATGGGAAGTACTTCCTCAACTTTTCAAGGAGACTGGGAAAGAGTATACACAGATTTAGATCTCGTACAAGAAAGCATTTCTGGCCCCTGAAATCCGCTGTGAATGGGTGCCCATGGCTGGCAGTCTCGCCTTCTCTGCAAACACCTCTAGAGCTGGCTGATGCATTTGTGTCCATCCACCCTCGTAACAGTGGTAAAATCATGGGAAACCATTACTTCAGTTGTAAGTAACAGAATTAAAAGAGGAATCTGCATGTTCCTGAAGGATGATTTACTCAAGCACTCTAGGCCGGATTAAAAAAAAAAAAAAAAAATCCGTGCCCACCACAGTCCAGCAATTTTTTGAGAACATGAAGTATCTCTCACTTGGGCTAATTCTCCCCCTTTTCCCATAAGTACTATTTAAAGTACCGTTTACATATAATGCTTAAGACAATTACGGGCCATCTTTCTCAACAACAGTCTGCTCCTGAGAATGGAACCCAGCCACCTGTCCTGGCCTTAATGCTAAGTCACCTAAGTACACGTTTACAATTCTTCCCTGCAGGTGACAATTAGCTCAGTCGTAAAGAATGTCTTCCCAGCAGTTTCGCTCTCGGAGCACGATTCCACCCGAATGTCTAGGGTTTCTGGCGGCCCGGCCATTCACGTTAGGGTCCTTACCTACCCTTAGGTTTCTGCCAGCCTGACCTCCCTTGCCCTGAGGACAGCCTCCTGAGTCCTCTGGTACAGCTTCATCTCGAAACCGCCAGCCTGGAAATACAGCACTCCTGCATTTGAATCGCAACTGGGGGGTGGATTTTTACCTTAAAATCAGTCCGAAACAAAAACTGAGATCTGGAAGTCTTATGGGAAGAGGGAGCGAAGAGGGCCCGCGCAGGGGCCGAAAGCGCGGCGCTCACGCGGGGCCCACGACCCCGAGCTTCAGAGCGAGGGGAGGCCGGGAGCAGGGCCCGGACCTGGCGGCGCACAGACGGCGCGGGGCGGCGGGAAGGCCGGGCGCCGGCTCCGCGTCGTTCCCCACCCCTGACCCCTTCCCCTGCAGCTCCAACAAGCAACGAAGGGCTGCCCGAGGCCCCCGGCCAACCCCACTCACCCCGCGCCCATCGCCGGCACGGTCCGTCCGCGTAAACTTCCCGCCCGCGCACCACGGCCGGAACGACGGGGCCGCGCGACACAAGGGAAGCCGGCGCCAAAGTGCGCACGGGACGGGGGCGGGGCTTTCAGGCCTGAGCGGCAGGGCAATGGCGCGGCTGGGCCGCTAGGGGGCGCGCCCTCCTCGGCGTCCCTCCGCAGCCCTGGATCCGCGTTGACCTCTGCTCCGACATCCCCAACCTTGCGGAGCCCGGCCTCTGTCTCCCCTTCCTTCTCTTCCTCCCTCCCTCTCCCTTTTCGGGCTCTTCCCTCTTTCCCTCTGCCCACCTCCTCCTCTCTGAAGAGAGACCTCTGTGAGCCCTTCGCACTCCAGCCTCCTCACTCACCTGCGCCCCTTGGCGCACGCGCCTCACGCTCACTGACACGTGCCCCTCTCTGTCCGCACTCTTGAGCCCCCTCCGAACCAGGTGGCAGAATCTTCTCCAAACTCTTCTTTAACTACACTTCCTGCCTGGGGAGTGCTCATGCTAAGCGCACCGTATATTTTTCTTAGGCGACAAGTCAAGACTTCCCCTCTGGGTCTCCTCTGCGCGAGGCTCCCTTTCTTCCCCGCCACCCCTTCTCTGAGGGAAGGTTCCTTGGTTCTCCCTGCAGTGCGAGGTGCCTTGCTGAAGGATCTGCACTCCCACTTGCCTGGGACGCAATGGGCCCTCCCGCCTCGCCTCTGGCCACCTGGCGCCCGCAGCAGCCTGCGCCCCGGCCAGGTTCCTGAGGGGGCAAGACGTAGTTTTCTAACCATGCAGGCCTGGGTAGTTGTGGTTCAAAGAATCATGTTGTACCACGTAGATTACAAGTGAGAGTAGAAAAAGGCGTCTGCCTCTTTTTCCTTTAGTTGGTGGGATGGAGGGAGGTAGGGGGTGGGTTAAGGAGGGAGTGTGCTTTGAACGGAACAACCTAGTCTGTCTGACTTTTCACAGCTTGTTCTGCGGGAGAGTGCAGGTTCCAATTGTTGTAGTTCTTTCCCATCTCCTCCTTAAATCCAAGGTGGCTGAAGAAGAGCGTCAGTCCCTGGGAATGTCTGCCAGCATCAGGGCCCAGGGACCTACAGACTGTCCTTTTTGCTTCAGGACTCCTTTCCCCAACGTGGCTAGGCTCACTCTCTCAAACCCTTACGATGCTTGAGCATAATGGGATCTAGGTAAGTAAGGCTGCTTCTTGATGATCTGGTTACAGTTTCTAACTCTTTCCCTAGTGGGAGGGATGTGGCCAAGAATGTGTGGGCAGGGGAGTTGTCTAGTTACCCCTAAAGTGATGACTCAGCCATAGGGTCGCAGTTCTCCTGGTAGTTCCAGCTCGGCTCCATGGACTGATTCCCAACCTTCCCCAGTCCTAAAGCTTAAGTTTATTAGTTTGCTGATGGGTGATCAGATTTTGGTAAACTTGTTCTGAATAAGGGCTTTCAGGAGATTAGGGAAGCAAAAGAGCGATTTACTAAAATTGAACGGGAAGAGGTAACTACCAAGGGGACTGAGTCACTTAGGGCAACTGGTTAAGTCTTTTGTTTTTATTTGTAAATTCTTAGTAGAATCCCATGAAAAATCAGAAGGTTGTGCAGTGAATATAAAATCAGAGAACATCAGCACAGAGTTAGAAATTCTTGCAGGAGATGTTTTTCAAGGCATAGCTGGCTAATGAATTTCTTTTTCTCACTCCAGAGAACCTCATTTGCATGTTTCCACACATACATTAAAGAGAATCAATGAACAACTTCCTTTGCATAATCTATCATCCTTTCATTATTTATTTATTTATTTATTTATTTATTTATTTATTTATTTATTTTTGCTTTGAAACAGTGGACCACTGTCAACAGAGCCTTTGAAAGGCAGAGTGGTTTGGTTTCTAGTCTGGCAAAGTAAAGGTTAGTGACAGAAATTCTAAGCCACTCATAGGTGCTAAGTATTGGGGCTCAGAGGGGGGGTTCAGATAGCCACACTTGTCGATCATTCAGAATATTTTCACTGCTCTAAAAATCCTCTGTGTTCTGCCCTTTTATCCCTCCCTCTCCCCTGACTCCCAGCGACCACTAATCTTTCTATTTTCTCCATAGTTTTGCCTTTCCCTGAATGTTATAGAGTTGGAATCATATAGTATGTAGCCTTTTCAGATTGGCTTCTTTTGCTTAGTAATACCCATTTCAGTTTTTGTCATGTTTGTTTATGGCTTAATAGCTCATTTCTTTTTAGTGCTAAATAATAAATATTCCACTGTCTGGATGCACCTCCGTTTGCTGAAGGACATCTTGGTTGCTTCCAAGTTTTGGCAATTATGAATAAGGCTGCTATAAACACCATTGTGCAGGTTTCGTGTGGACATATGTTTTCAATTCATTTGAATAAATACCAAGGAAAGAGATTGCTGGGTCATATGGTAAGAACCTTTTAGTTTTGTGAAAAACTAAACTTTTGTGAAAAAGTTGTCTTTTGAAGTGACCGTACCATTTTGCATTCCCAGCGGCAATAGATGAGAGTTCCTGCTGCTCCTCAGGAACATTGATGTTGTCAGTGTTCTTGATTTTGGCTATTCTGATAGGTGGGTGGTGGTGTCTCACTGTTGTTTTAATTTGCAATTCCCTAATGACATATGATGTTGAACATATTTTCATGTGCTTACTTTCCATCTGTATATCTTCTTTGGTGAAGGGTCTGTTCTGTTCAAATCTTTTGCACATTTTAAAATCAGAATGAGTTCTTTTTTTTTACTTTTGAGTTTTAAGTGTTGTTTGTATGTATATTTTGGATAACATTCATTTATCGGATATGTGTTTTGCAAGTATTTTCTTCCAGTCTGTGTCTTGTCTTTGCATTCTCTTGACAGTGAGGGACTTAAAAAAAATTAAAACAAAAAACCAATAATACAATACCATTATCAAATTTAAAATAATTAACAGTAAGTCCCTAACATCATTAAATACCCAGTTTTCAAATATCCAGGGGACTATAAAATATTATAAATTTTACTTTTTAAAAAAATTTAAAAATTTTTTAAATTAAAAATTTATTTTTTTTCAGAGAGAGAAAGAGAGTGTGAGCATGAGGGGGGGCAGAGCAGAGGGAGAGGATCTCAAGCAGACTCCATGTGGAGTGTGGAGCCCGCTGTGGAGCTGGATCCCATGACCCTGAGTTCTTGACCTGAGCCGAAACCAAGATTTGGACATTTAACTGACTGAGCCACCCAGGGGTCCCTAAATTTTACTTTTTTTTACTTTGATTGTTTGAGTCAGGAACCAAGTAAGATCCAGACATTGCAGTCTCTGAAGTATCTTGTCATCCCTAAGTTCTCCCTCCATGTCTTTTTCCCCTTGCAGTGTATTTGATGAAGAAACTGTGACCCCCCCTCTCTTTTAATTGCTCTCGATCCTCCTCAGTCTGTCCACAGCATTTGAGAAAATCACAAAGCTTCTCTCTATTCTAAAATAATAGAAAGACTCACTGAGCAAAGTAGGGATTTTATACAATTCCAATTCCAATTCATTTCATCGTTGCTCTATAAATAGGGGTGAGGCTTACCCACCAATGGTTCCCAAGGGTCTGGCATGTAACACTGGGTATGCATTTGTGAAAAGAAGATAGGAAGGAAGTTAAGAGATTATTTGAAAAAAAAAAAAAAAAAAGTCAAAGGGGAAAGAAGAGAAAATTTGATATTACATTTGTCTAAGAAAGTAGAACTGAACTTTTTTTTTTTTAAGATTTTTATTTATTTATTTAACAGAGAGAGAGAGCACAAGTAGGCAGAGTGGCAGACAGAGGGAGAGGGAGAAGCAGGCTCTCTGCCAAGCAAGGAGCCCGATGTGGGGCTCAATCCCAGGATCCTGAGATCATGATCTGAGCCAAAGGCAGCCGCTTAACCAACTGAGCCACCCAGGCGCCCCAGAACTGAACTTCTTTATTTAGGACACCCTCTTCTTTGAAAAGCATTACAGGGGCGCCTGTAACTCACTTGTTAAGCGTCAGCCTTCGGCTCAGGTCATGAATGTATCCCAGAGAACTGGGATCGAGCCCCGCGTCGGGCTCCCTGCTCCGTGGGAAGCCTGCTTCTCCCTCTCCCACTCCTCCTGCTTGCGTTCCCTCTCTTGCTCTGTCTCTCTCTGTCAAGTAAATAAATAAAATCTTAAAAAAAAAAAAAAAAGCATTACAAACTCTAAATTTTTAAAGGTTCCTCATGATCTGGGCCTACATCTATCTTCCCAGGCTCACCCCTCACCCTAGCATCTTTCAGTGAAAAAGCAGATAAAGCAAAACAAAACTAGTTTTTCTTTCTTTCTTTCTCCTTTCTTTCTTTCTCTCCTTTTCTTTTTTTCTTTCTCCTGCTTCCTGCCTTAGATTTCTTTATTATTTTAGAGAGAACACATGTATAGGGGGAGGGGCAGAAGCAGAGGGAGAGACAGAATCTCAGGCAGACTTCCCGCTGAGTGTGGAGCTGGACCCTGGGCTCTATCTCACAACCCTGAGATTGTGACCTGAGTGAAATCAAGAGTCTGTGGGTTGGAAGGAGCCCCCCAGAGCATAATTACCCAAAAGTGGGGTGGGGTGTGTATGCGTGGGGCTGGGTTGGGGGCGTTGGAAAGGGGGAAAGGTAGGGAATGGGAGAATCACCACTCCTCACCTTCCTGGGGGTTAAATGGTTTTAACTCTTACTTCCCCACACCACAAACTGGCTTTAAGTCTCCTCCTCCCCAAAGGACTCTACTCGAAGTGAGTGGGCATGCCAGCGTGCTTGTGTGTGTGTGTGTGTGTGTGCGTGCGTGTGTAAACAATGCAGTGGCCTAAATAGGGAGTTGGCATGTGGGAGTGGAACTCCACCCTTTATCCTCCCCACTCATTCCCTCCAAGAGAGGCCCACACTCGAAGCCTGGGCCAAAGACTGAGCCTGAGCTGGAGGTGGAGGGTTGGAGAGGAGGAACACTGTCCCCTTTGGATGGAAGTGAGACCTGGGATGAGGCTGACACTAAAATCAGGGAGTATTAGAAGAATAGGAGGCTGCAAGGTGTATAAAAACCTTGGTGGTTTGGGCCTCCTTTATATCTTGTTTTTATTATTACTAGTATATTAATATACCTTGGGCATCATCTTCATTGCTTTGAACTGCTATATAATTGATTACTGGAAAGTTATGACACCATTTATGTACCAGTTTTCCACTGACATTTATTTTTTTTTAGTTCAAGGCAGAACTTGAACACATGACCCTGAGATCAAAACCTGAGCTGAGATCAAGAGTCAGAGGCTTAACCCACTGCATCACCCAAGTGCCCCTCCATTGACATTTAGATAGATTGCAATTTTCGCTCTCACAAGCAATGTCGGAATAGGCCTTGTAGATGTGGTGGAGGCTTTTCCTCTGACTGGAGTGGGAAAGTGCTGGAAAGTTTGGAGGAGAGGAGGGACATGACCTGACTTGCAGCTTAACAAGCTCTCTTGTGCTCCCGTACCAGACTGATAACTCACAGTATCTTCGTCAGCACAGGATATTACGTTTTTTAGTCTTTGTCAAGTGATGAGAAAAAAAAGAAATCTGTTGCTTCAGTTGGTATTCCTTTGTAAAATGAGATCGACACAGCGAGTTTTACGTAGTGTGCTTTTTTCATTCACTTAGTGGGGAGTTGTTAGCTTTACTGGTACTGTGTGGATTCCTGTGTGGCCGCACTGAAGCCCTCTGATAGGGCCCGTTTGACCGCTCTTCCAGGCCCCAGGCCCCTCCGGATGGGCACCTGACTAAGAAGGCCAAAACCCTGACTCTGAACCGCTACTGACCTGAAGTGTCACCCCCCCCCCCCCCCCCCCGCAGCTCCCTGCCTCAGGTATGGCTCCCGCACTGGCTTAGAGAGATGAAGTGTTGTGGGATGTTTGGGGGCTTATTTTGCTTACTCCCACCAATGACAGCAGTGTACGCAGCACCCTATAGGGCAGTGTGGGTGGCTCAGTCGGTTCAGCATCCAACTCTTGATTTTGGCTCAGGTCATGATCTCGGGGCCCGAGATCTACGGCCTTGGGCTCCACCCTCAGTGGGGAGTCAACTTCTGTCCCTCTGCCCCTCCCCCAACTGGTGCTGTCTCTCTAAAATCAATCTTTTTAAGAAGTATCCTATAGGGCGCCTGGGTGGCTCAGTCGGTTAAGCGACTGCCTTCGGCTCAGGTCA